TTGACTCCTTGCACTCTCAAATCTTCATCGTGAGATTCAACACAACTTTTGAGTACATTTACTTTGATCCTCGAACTTTGAATTTGTTTCATTTTAGCACTTTTTTGTTCTTTCTTCCAATTATTCGTCCAAACATGAGATTTTCTTAATAAAAATAATAAATAACGAATTATGCACTAATTCGTCCAAAGAGTAATAAAATATCATCATTTAGAACTCCAAATAAGCGTAATAACTACACTCAACAAAGCACCATACATTAGACACAAATGCAGCAATTTCCCTAATTTGTCACTCTCCCGGGCCACTCTTTCTACCCACTTTCATAAATCTTTCGAACCCTCCAATATAAACTGAAAATCTTGAATTATTTAGTAACGGATGTCCCGTCCAAAGGAAAACGAAAATAATATAAATGATTGTGAGATTGAATTATATTTCTTTTTGTGAAAAGTATCATCTGAACAAAAAAGTTAGCATTGCAATGCTTTTAAACGCAAGAATGATGCTTCCATCTAAAAGTCTAATCCAAGAAAAAGTCTAGTAAAGAAATGATAGAAAGGGGGAGTGGTGAGTGCCTGAGTGGGCCAAATCCAATGGTAAAAAGCAGTGCTTTAATGGAAAAGACGGTGCACATGATATGATGAGCAATTTGCTCCATTCCCTCCTTGGTGAAACCTTCAAAATAAACATATCTTTTTCCTGTGCTACCTTCAAATTATTCTTTTTTTAAACTATATGATTTATATAAATATGTACATGATGTACATATTAATGTCAATCAGACTTGTAGGTGGAAAATAGCTTGAATTGATTGTTGGCTTGACTCAGTCCATGAACCCTCGAGTTTATATTGAAACGAGTTATAGACAGAATCGAGCTCGAATTTTTTTTTTCACAGCCAACTCATCTTCAGCTCATAGATCAGCTTGTTTTTACTCATTTTGATTTATTTTACTAATTTAAAAAATAAAAAAATCAGTCGGCTCGTGCTCGTGTGCACAGGCCGAGCTCCCTTACAAATTTATCTCTCTTTCTTATCTTCTAAATTTTCAATAATTTGTCTTCAACTCGCACATGCATCCAAATAGTTTGAGGTTAGTGGTATGAGTCATTTATGTCTTGTCCCTCACTTAGGATTAGGGATGTAAACAAGTTAAAGGTCAAGGTTCAGGTAAAAAACAGATTGGGCTTTTTTGCCTAGGGTCGAGTCGAGCCAAACCAAAACTCAACCGAAAAATCAAGACTTGGCTAGAGCCTTATGGAGCCGAACCAGCTCTTTTTTTTTTTTCAAGTTGTGAAATTAATTTTTTTTTTTTTCAACAAACAACTACAACCGAAAGCAAGAGAATAGACAATTGTAGCTGCTTGCTTGCATGCACTTAGCTATAGTTGATGTCATGGGCCGAAATGGCATGTTTGGCCAACCACATGGGCTAGCTCCGGCTCAGATCATGCCCAAAAAATGAGGCTCAATGGAAATTAGTAGCCAGTTGACTCCAGCTTTTTTCGGATCAAGTCATTGGTCGTCTGAGCTGACGAGCTAAATTTACATATCTGCTTATTAGTAATTTTTTAATGTCCTAACAAAATGTAAATAAAGATTCATGACACGAGCTAAAATAAAGTTTCTTGTCAATTATCAATTTCTATCGGACTTTTCTTGTATGCAAATTAAGCTCAATTATTTGGGTTTGCAACTAACTCTATATATGATTTGAACTACGGGTTCCTATTATAAAACACACTAACACGATCATCAATAGTGACCTTAATAATATGATAAGATTGATAAGGATAATTGCTTTAAATGAGTGGCATGGTGATGCTACTACTGGCCTACTTCAAAAGGAAATTACATTTTTAACCTTTGAATTATTTATTATTATTATTTTTGAGGGTGTAGTGGTGGGTAAATAGTAAAGTTAAAAATACATAAAGATGCACAAATTACATGAAGTGTATGTAATAGCTAAAGATGGCAACATCGGTGGGCTAAGCGTAAAGACAGGAACTACCAACGGACATCATGAAACCTTATCCCCTACAATTCAGCCCTCCATCATTGACAACTTCTCAGCAAATAAAATCAGCATCAACTGTCAACGGAATCAAATGCCCATCGACCAAATAATTTGTGGGCCATTCTTGTCTACTCTCTCCCCTCTCATCAAATGACACGTCTCAGTTTTTTTCCCATTAATATCTACTAATTCTCTCGTTAATGTATCTCCATAATAAGTATCAATCAATTTTAAGAACATAGGAAAAAATAGAGTTAAATTACTCAAATAGTCATTGAACTTTACCAAAAGTTTTCAGGAGGTCATTAAACTTGAAAACTTTTCTAAATAGCACCGAACTTTGTCATAAGTTCTCAAGAGGTCGCCGAATTTTAGAACTTCCTTAACTAGCCACTGAACTTTACAAAAAGTCCTAGGGGATCACTCAATTTTCCAAACTAAGACCCCATATATTACTGGTTTAGTGACTCACTTGGAACTTTTTGCAAAGTTCAGTGATTATTTAGGAAAGTTTTGAAGTTCGGTAACCTCTTGGGAACATTTGACAAAGTACAATGACTATTTAGGTAAGTTTTGAAATTCGATAATCTCTTGGGAACTATTGGCAAAATTTAGTGACTATTTGGAGAATTAACTCTGAAATAATATGATACCCAAAAAACCGAAAAGAAATACTTAAGCTAATCAAAATCAGAAAAAAATAAAAAAAATAAAAAAAGAATAACATTATTTTTCCTTCAAATGGTTTACCTATATTCACCATTGTATTGAGACAATTACCAGTAAAATAGTAAATCAATAATTCAATAATAAATTAGTGGGATAATACATTCATAGATCCAAGTAATATATAAATTAACAATTTTTTGGTACATAGGGCCAATAATTTGGCATGACTTTTAAAAAGCTAAAATGAGTTTCTGAGATACAAAAGTTGCTATTGGACCCCGTTTGACTAATTTTATGAAAGTATTTCATTTAATTAGAAAAGTTTTTTATAGGAAGTTGATCCAAAAAGACTCTTCTAAAAGCATTTTTAGAATAGGATTTTTATTTTATTTTTTATAAATTAGTTTTCAAACAAAAATTAAGATTATTTTTTTCCAAAGGCTTTTCCATAGATAGTAAAATAAAAGCAAAAGTCATGCCAAACTAATCCTTATTCATTGTACAATGACACAACGCCGACTCGTATAAATAATTCTTCTTTGTTGACACTTATAATTGCATCAACAACGGTTAATAATGATACTAAGAGGGCCACCAAGATAGAGTTGGCGACTTTTGTGCACACGGGCAATAAAGGAGTTTGGATTACCTAAGGACATCCACTTGCTATTTTATTGATTGGATGAGATTTGTAGATTCATTAATTAATTAGATTAGAAGATAATCAGGATCATGGATTTGTAATTATTCGTAATCACCCCATAATGTGCAAGTTGGGGTGGATTCAATCTTACTTATTTTTCTATAATATATTCAAATCTAAAATGTGTCGAAGTACGACTGAGAAAAAGTAGGTGCAAAGTCAATGCCAATCTAGTTGCTTCTGGAACAAGACATAGGTTTTGGTTCTTGGATGACATAACATTAGATAATTAGATTAGACAAAACATAATATAAAATTAAGGAAAATAATATATTTATGCTTTTATTCAGCGTCTGTTTCGTAGAGATAAAAATCAAATTTATAGTAAATTTTGATAAAATTTGATAAAATGTGTAATTGAAAATTTGTAATTCCTAAGAAATATGTGATTATAATTAATTTTTGATTTTGACTTAGTTTAAAATCTGAATTTTAAATTTTACCAGTTAAGTTATCAATCTTGTTAAATTAATCGTGTTTTGTGCATTTTAAATTGTGATAATCTAATTCTTCCCATCACAAAATCGATTCCGTATTTTCTGACTTTTTCTTTATTATTAAGAAAAGTTCCATAAAGAATAAGGAAGTGCACATTGTTTGCCTTGAATTAATCATGCAACTTTGGTGACCTAACTTCTCATCAGCAAAAGCCGACAATCATTATTGAATGTTTTCATAAGCCTACAGATTCGTAGGTCCCAAACACGCCCTATCAACTTTCAAGTTAGGCAGAGATCCTATTATAAACTCCATCAACAGCCCTTCCATGGTGTCTTTAGCCTACTTTTCCCTTTCCCTTTCCCTTTCCCTTTTTATCTTTCCCACACAAGAAAACAAGAAAACAATGAAGTATAATTCCACCTCTCAACAATTTTTGGTGGACAATTACGTTCTGTCCACCAATTCCATTCCTTGGAATAAAGGTTTAATTTTTTTTAATGGGTCTTTACATTAGACCAAACATGTCCTCGGGTATGAACAAATACATATATAAATAAACTTAATGTCCGGTTTTTTGGTTAATCATTGGTGCAAATGGGTACATGAATACGTAAGGTAAAAAAACCAAATGAGTGCCATAAAGAATCAAAAGAGAAAGATAAGAAGTTCGTGCTGATAAGAAACAGTGAAAGTTGGTATGATAATGGGAGGCGAGAGGACAGACGAATCATTCTCTTGATGTGTGTCTCCCTTTGCCATGTGAATCCACGTATTCTTGCTTTACACTGATTCTTTCCAAAGAAACGTGGGTTGTGTTGGGGGGGGGTCGTGGTGGGGCGTGGTGCAGATAAAATTAGTGGGGTTCAATTGGTCAACCTGTGTGTGTTGTGTTGTGTTGTGTTGTGTTGTGCGTGAGAGAGAGAGAGAGAGTTTTCATCATTCTACATACCAAATTCTTTTCTCTACTTATTCATCCATTTGTTTAATGTTAATCGATCCTAGGTAGTCTCCCACCCACCATTCCTCTACAAAAGTCTTCTGTTTTTCTTCATTTTCACACAAAAATCAGAAATCAGAAGACTCGTTCTCTCTACATATACCTTTAACTACAAAGCCTCTCTATTCGTACCAAAAGCTTTAGTCTTTGAATCGTCTCATCATAAATGGGTGTTGATGATTTATGCAATACAAGCCTGTTTCTAGGCTTGAGTAATTTTTCATCCACCGTTGAATCCAAAAAATTACCCCAAAAGTTTGATGGAAAAATTTCTGAGCCTTCACTGACTCTGAGTCTTTTCTCTCTCTCTCTCTCTCTCTCTCTCTGATTGTGTATCTGTTTTGTCTGATTATAATCTTTTGATATATCAGAAACAAAAGCAAGACTTGGCAAGAGACTTAAAGCTTAGGCCTAGACAGGTTGAAGTTTGGTTTCAGAACAGGAGAGCAAGGTATCATCTTCAACATGTGAAAAGCATTAAAAAATCTCCCTTTTCAATAATATGTATGTATATTCCATCTTTAAGAAACCGAGAAAGAATAAAGAAAATCGAATATTGAGTTCCAATAAAGAAATTCAATAGGTGCTTTTGGTGATGAATCTGAGTAATCCGTGGCTATTTATACAGGACAAAGCTGAAACAAACGGAAGTGGATTGTGAATTCTTGAAGAAATTCTGTGAAACTTTAACAGAAGAAAACCGGAGGCTACAGAAAGAGTTACAAGAACTAAAGGCACTAAAACTAGCTCAACCCTTGTACATGCAGCTGCCGGCAGCCACCCTCTCCATGTGTCCTTCTTGTGAGAGGATTGGCGGCGCCGCCGTGGGCGAAAATAAGTCCAACAACCCTTTTACAATTGCCACAAAGCCTTGCTACTACAATCCTTTCAACAATCAATCAGCAGCTTGTTAAGTTTGGCTATTACTGGGCAGATTATAATTTCCAACCCCTTTTTTTAATTTGGTTAAGGGCATACTAATTAATTAGAAAATATCTGATTATGTTGTTGAAACAACTATGTTTGTGGGAATATGTATAAATTAGTTCTAATGTACATATAAGTTTTGAACTGCCTTGAAATAATTTCAATTTTCTTTTGTTTGTTTTTGATTAATTTCTACTACAATTATTAGTCGTGAAGGCGTTGGCTCACGTGTATTTGCCTGTGACTTTGTTAGTTTTTCCATTTTTCTTTTCTTTTCTTTTTCCTTTTTCTGTTAACATGCAAAGAGAGACGACCAAGGCGTGTGGGCTAGGTTTATACCTAGATAAAAATTTAATTTTTATTAAAATTTGATAAATGTCGATAAACTGTATGATGAAAAGTTATGGATTTCATTAAAGTTTGTGTTTAAATTAATTATTAATTTTGACTTAAATTTAATCATTTTTTTATAAGTTGAACCAAGTATGAACTAATAGTACATGGTCTTACAAGAAAATGTTGTCCTACACCCGTATCTTTTACGTTGAATTTTGACCCCAATTCTTTTAGAGAAATACAAAAACTCATCCACAATGCAATTGAATTATCACGTCGTCTTCTTGTATAATCCTTAGCCCCAACTTTCACTTAGTTTTAGATATATTTAGTTCAATTTGATTTAGATTAAAATCAATATTTTAGTAGATTTTGATAAAAGTTAATGGAATGTGATTGAAAAATTATGTGTACGATTAAAATTAATTATTAACTCTAACTATTTTAATCTAAATTTTTAATTAGCTGAATCAAAAGGGACAATAAATAATAGGCAAAACGTTATAATCATAATACACAATGAACATGTCGTAGACAACTTTTATAGTGGTATGCTTGAGTGAGGTCTACATATATTTAGGGATTATTTGAAAAAGTTTTGGTAAAATTTTTAAAATATTTTAATAAAAATTATTGAAATTTATGGTCAAAAATATTATAAAAATTGTTATTCCAATGAAAGATATAATTAAAATTAATTGTTAATTTGATCTCAAATTTTTAATCTCTTTATGTTATTCAAAACAAGCACTTTGGGGTATGTTTTGGAATTTTGGGATAGAGCCGTCATAGGTTATTTAAGTATACATTTTGCGCATTTTTGAAGGATCTGATTTTGTGTATTTCTAGTAGTGATTTTTAAATCAGTCAAATCCATATTTGAAATTTTAATATTCAACTGTTCTAAATTTTTTTTAAAAGAATAAAATTATATATATAGATGGTACTTATAAAAAATATGGAAAAATAATCAAGTAGAGCCTTAATTTCAAGTCAAAGTTTTTGGGCATGAAAATAAGCACTAATTATACAATTTCTTCATAGACACGTTATGATGATTGGTCACGGACAAAGTCCAACGCTGAATCATTGGAAGGATCTATCATGGTCTAATGTGTGGTCCACTTACTCTTTATTTTTCTTTTCCATATTATATTAACTTTGTTGACTAGCAATGTCGATGACTCGATGGTGGTGTGATATTTGGACCGAAAAATCGATATGTTAGTAGCCTAGAAACTACACCTTTTTAATGGTCTAACTATAATTATGTCATTCACCATCATATCAAGATTAAATTCTACTCTTTCAAATAGCCCTTTAGACAAGTTATTTTGTTTCTTGAATTATTCTACTCGTCCAGAGCTAATGGCCCCTGGACAATACTTGGCGTCCCCTTATAGGTGGGAACCTGTGGATATTCTGCTCGTCCGGGGCCAAAACATTGTTGTTATTTTCTCTTGCAAGACCATAATTAAAATTTAAAAAAAAAAAAAATTCTTTGTATCACAAAATTTATTTGGTCATGAAATTCAATCTTAAAACTAGTCTACGTCTCGTGCGTTGCACGAATTTTGTATTTATTTTAATTTTATTAGCGTAAAATTTATAGATTGTACAAAAAGTATTTGGAAATAAGAAATGTTTGTTTGATTCTCATCTTTTGGTCGATTGTATATTCTATGTCACAATAATTTATTTTTATCCTTATAAATAAGTATAATGAATGTTGTGATTGTATATATGTCAACGATAATTTATTTTTAATTATTTATTATATTTTTTGGTTTAATGTAGATGAAGATATTTTTTTTTATCTGATATTGCAAATAAGTTGTAAATTGAATTTTGCAAAATGCTTTTTTTTAACAACTTCGATTCGAGAGGCTATACTTGCAGTTCAAAAATAACCCATACAGTTGTAAATTGAAAGAGAATATTCACATACACAAACATTTAAATAACAAACTCAGGTTTGCACGTAAAATAACTTGAAGTGGCACGTAAAATAACAAACTCTCTTGTTGGTGTAAGGATTAGAACCCTAACAGTAGACCTATTTTTCGAACGATACAATAGTCACTCCAAGGTTGGTAGGATAAAAGAATTTTAAAAAAAAAATTTAAATAAATTTTATTTAAAAGAGAAAAGAATTAAAAAGAAATTTAAATAAATTAATAAAAAAACCAATTATTTATAAAGTAAAATTTTCAATTTTAATTAAATAATATTTATGTATTCTTCATTTAATTTTCATAACTTTATTTTATTTTTTATTTCTAAATAATTTTAAACGAATTTTTTTACTTATATAAGTATTTTTTAAATATATTAGAAGTATTTTTTGTTAATATGCTTATTTAAAATTTTTTTTTTTACTAAAAGTGATTTTTTTTTTTTTACTTATAAAAGTGGTCAGCACGGAGTAAGGCGGGAGGTATGGAAAGTTGCGTATTACATAGATTCACATTGCCTCTCTTACACTATATATATAATATAATAATATAAACAAATGAGTTGATTTGAAAAGGCGTGGCCATAACGTATAAAAATGGAGAATAGAAAAGTACAAAATTTTTTTTTGCATAATTCTTCGTACACGGAGACCACACTATATATAATTTTTTTTAATTCTTTTCTCTTCAATTTTTTTAATCTACAAATAACTTTTTCGTTAAAATTGAAAAATTAAGTTTTATTTGGAAGAGAAAATAATTAAAAAGAAAAAAAAATAATTGATTTTTTTAAAGAAAAAACTCATTTGTTAACACGTACGTTTAATTTTCGTTTAACTATTTTTGATATTTATTTAGATCATTCGATATCTCTACAATATAGTTCTCAAAATGAGTTTCGAGAGAATGTAAAATATTTATTAATTCGACTATCGTACAATTATCGATGAATTTTTAAAGTTAGCTTGTTATTAAAAATAGTAATAAAATAATTGATTTTTTTAAGAAAAACGACTTATGCGTATTTTTTAACACATACATTTAATGTCCGTTTAATTATTTTTGATATCTATTTAGATCATTCGATATATCTACGATATAATTCTCAAAATGAGTTTCGAGAGAATGTAAAACATTTATCGATTCGCTTATTGTACAATCGTCGATGAATTTTTAAAGTTAGCTTGTTATCGAAAATTTCGAAATATAGTTTGAAAATGTCTACTTTGACGTCCCGTAACATTTGCTATAATTGATCATTTCACGCACCGTTAACGACGTACGATACTATGCCGCGAGTACTTCAAAACGATATTAAAAATGTAATATTTCGACTTCGTTTGATATCTCGTAATGAGCCTGGAAATGAACACAAAAACATAAATAAAAAAAAATATTTCATTTCTCTCTTTGTGCAGGGAGACCTGGCGTGCAAGGAGACCAAGTTCTCCGTGCACAGAGACCTCATGTCTTCGTGCACGGAGTCTTTGAACGTACTCTTATTTTTTTCTTCTTTTTTAAATATAAGCTAATACTTCTTTTATATATATATAATAATATAAAAAAAATATCCATGCACTCTATGCACAAAAGAACGCGTCGTTTTTGCTCCCCACTTGAAAAAAAATGAAATTTTAAATAATTAAAAAAATTACGTCATACCGCATAATTTTTTGAGCAAAATAATGTATTGAGAAAAATGTTGCGAAAAAATAATAAATAGTAATAAAAAATTGATTTTTTAAGAAAAACGACTTATACGCATTTTTTAACACATACATTTAATGTCCGTTTAATTATTTTGATATTTATTTAGATCATTCAATGTCTCTACAATATAGTTGTCAAAATGAGTTTCGAGAGAATGTAAAACATTTATGATTCGTACAATCGTCGATGAATTTTTAAAGTTAGCTTGTTATCGAAAATTTCGAAATAGTAATAAAATAATTGATTTTTTTAAGAAAAAACCACTTATGCGTATTTTTTAACACATACGTTTAATGTCCATTTAACTATTTTTTATTTTTTTAAATATTTGTGTTGTTTACATTATAATTTTTTTTCAATTTAAAATTATTTTCTCTTAATAATTCCGAACAAAAACTTAGTTTTGATTTGCATTATAAATAATTTTTCTTTTTTCAACTTAAAATTCTTTTTTAATTTCTTTCTCTTTAATTTTTTTACTCACAAGTAACTTTTTACCTCTTAAAAATATTTTCTTTCTTATATTATTAGTATTTTTATTTTTTAATAATTTCAGATAATATTTAATTTTATAATAATAAAATATATAAAACAAATTTACTTTAAAATATTTTATTATACTGTAAGAAACTGCTACAACACGTAATTTCCATACCCCCACCACTCCATGCTTAACCACTCTTATATAGATATATATAGTAGGGATATAAGAAAAAAGTACTTTTATATAAAAAATATTTTAAAAAAATTACTTTTAAGTAAAAAAAATTTGAAGAAAAAAGAATTAAAAAGAATTTTAATTTTTGTTGTTCACATTATAATTTTTTTTTCAATTTATAATTCTTTTCTCTTAATAATTCCAAACGGAAATTTAGATTTGAGAATTTTTTTCTGTGTAGTTTTACGTTATAAATAACAGTTTTTTCAATTTAGAATTCTTTTTAATTTTTTTTTCAATTTTTTTATTATTAATCAGTATTTTTTAATAGTTTGAGATAAAATTTAATTTTCTAATAATAATTCAATATATAAAATGATGAAAAAAACATATTCACTCCGTGCATGGAGAAAAATTTTTTCGTCATACCACATAATTTTTTTTGAGCAAAATGAAACATTTATCAATTTCACTATCGTACAATCGTCGATAAATTTTTAAAATTAGCTTATTAACGAAAATCTCGAAAT